CGTTCCAGAAGTGTTTCCAACAATGGCGGAAGCGCTGGGAGAAGTGTGTGCATTACCAAGGAGACTACTTTGAAGGGGATTAGGGTTTTGTACCTCCAAATCAATAAATGTATTTCTGCCGACCAAAGGTTCGACACTTTTTGAACACACTACGTATTCAAGTTTCATATTTTTCAGTCCAAAGTACTTAAAATTAACGCAGTTCCACTATAACAATTTCATTACTTTCATTGCTACTGCCTTCAAAAATCAATAATAATGTTATTTTTCATTTTTGATGAAAATGTGATATAACAATAATTCACACTAAATTATGGTATACTACAAAAGAACAAAACTGTTTATCTGTCTATGGATGTACAGTCCTTTTGTTGGACCTTGGGCACTTTTTCAGTTTCTTCATCCTATACAGTCGGTAGGACTTCTTGGATGGGGAATCAGCCCATCATAATGCCACTACCTATACACAGAGACATCCATGCCTTGAGTGGGATTCGAACCCATGAACCAAGCGTCTGAGCGAGTAAAAACAGTTCATGCCTTAGACTGTGCAGCCACTGTGATCAGCGAACAAAACTGTCACTATCACAAAAGCTTGTATATCAGTTGTGTTCAGACATCAATTAGCAAGAACTGCTTCTGTAGCAAGCCTCATAAAAACTGACCATGGGTTTAACAAAGAGTATTTACTTGGCTCAGGAAGAAAGTAGAAACATCAATTAAGCTAATGTCTATCAAGAAGATCATTACATTGCAGAGCTATGTACTCACCAACAGCCTGTATTTGAAGGCAAAGGGTCTCGTCACTCTGCTCCTCATTTAAATACACTTTCAAGATTTCAATGATGCGAGGAAAATAAGGAATCATTCCATCCTTGGCAGCATTAGCTGTTGAGAAAACAATTTCCAGTCAACCTTAATCTAACCTAGAAATCGACAAAATATATAGAACGATCAACCAATTTAGTTTCATAATAAGTAACTGACCAACACAATAAAAGGAAATGGAGTAGGAAGTCCTATGAGTAATATAATAACACTATTTGAAAGCATGTGAATATGCACATCTTGCATCTCATTACCATAATGTGTATTTTAAATTATTACATATAGCAAACTGTTGCTAAATTTATATTTATACAATACAATGGTACACATTTTATAGGTGATGTCAATATCAGTTCCTTATAGAAACTATTAAGCCGTGACATGGTTGCCAGGAGTTTTTCCCTTCTCCCTATTCTGAACCACACTGCTGCACTACAAGCCACACAAAAAGAAATATTTGGTGCAATATCTCATACTTAATGTTTTATGTTTTACAGGCAAAAGGAGCAGAGTATGAGTTTTTGATTAGTGTAAATTATAATCTAATTGGATAGGGAAAGGACTGAGAGAAATTGAAAGATACAAACAAGTCTAAGTGAAAAAGGAGGAGAATTACTTATTTATATTTAGTACATTACATTCAGGGATTATGAAACATCATCCACAACATCAAAAATCACATCAAGAGTTAAGGAAAAATTAGGTTACATATAACATTAGTCTCACTGTGACAAAAGTATAATGTAGACATTTAAGTAGAGGGTGCTGAGAAGAAAATCTGGACCAAAGACAGTGTATGTAAGAGTATGATGAAAAACTACACCCTGAGGAGCTTCATAAATTTCTGTTGTTCACCAAATATTATTAGGGCGAGTGAGTTATGTAGAATACGTGATAGTGATGAGAAATGCATACAAGATTTTAGTCAGTTCTTGAAGAGAAGAGACTGGGTGGAACCACTAGGCAGAGATTAGAGGAAAATAATATAATGTGCCTTAAGGAAATGGTCTTCACTGGATTCACATGGCTCAGGATGGATGATGGCCTCTTGTGAACAATGTAATGAGCCTCAGGCGCCACAAATGACAGGGAATTTCTCGGATTACCTGAGTGACTGCTACATTCAGAAGGGCTCTATTAAATGGTCAATGACTGAAGGTACACCTTAAAATATTTATATTTTCTGAGAATTTATGCTATTTACCTAGTCTATACTTATATCTATTAGGAATATCAATGCCAACCTGTAGCACCTATGCAACTAAGTGCCAGTTCTTGAAGATGAACCAGGTTGTTTGGATTTAAGGCTGTGAACAATCTGTCCATTAAGGTTGGCAAATATGGTAACAGCTCATCCCCTAGATTTTCGCAGAACATCTCTAGTGCATAAAATATGCGATCCAAGCCAGGAGGTTCTTTTCCTTTCTCTTGCAGCTGGGAGCATACACTTGACAGGTAATCAAACAGCACAGGCAGAAGCTGTGATGCATACAGGCTAATGTCAGGCTGTAATGAAGATGAGATACACAAAGAGGTTATGTATGGTCAGGCTTAAAATTCTGGTTATCAAGTTTGATCCAACTTCATATTACATTACCACCTTATGGTGGGTGTTTGCACAATTATATTTATGGTTCATATAGCAATGCTCTCTGTAGCTCAGAATATAAGGCACTGAATGACAGGTTGGATAGCGAACAGCTACTGGAAAAAATATGGAAGGAAACGGTCATGGCCTACTAATAATACAAGTTCTGTCACCAACATAATAGCTTTTATTAATTTGGGTTACACTACATGTTTTGACCCTTAAAGGGTCATCTTCAGGTGTTTCTAATTACACATTATTACATTACTGGATTGCAATGTGAGATTACTATATTCCTATTTAAATACACAGGCCATAAAGTGGCTACACTCATGTTTATTTACATACTATTTAGGGATACTGACTCATCTGAGACTAAAATATTAACCNGTAAGAGTATGATGAAAAACTACACCCTGAGGAGCTTCATAAATTTCTGTTGTTCACCAAATATTATTAGGGCGAGTGAGTTATGTAGAATACGTGATAGTGATGAGAAATGCATACAAGATTTTAGTCAGTTCTTGAAGAGAAGAGACTGGGTGGAACCACTAGGCAGAGATTAGAGGAAAATAATATAATGTGCCTTAAGGAAATGGTCTTCACTGGATTCACATGGCTCAGGATGGATGATGGCCTCTTGTGAACAATGTAATGAGCCTCAGGCGCCACAAATGACAGGGAATTTCTCGGATTACCTGAGTGACTGCTACATTCAGAAGGGCTCTATTA